AGAGAGAGAGAGAGAGAGAGAGAGAGAGAGAGAGAGAGAGAGAGAGAGAGAGAGAGAGAGAGAGAGAGAGAGAGAGAGAGAGAGCAAACAAAAAAAAAAAAGAAACAAAAGAGAGACAGAAGCAACCAGTTGCGCTGTGTGAGTAGAACTTGTGGCTGGCTGGCTGGCGGTCTCGTGTGCCTTGCTCGTGACGCACGCTCACATACAGACACACTGGCAGTGCAGCTGGAGGAGACTCGGGATCGTCGGGCACGCCGCTGACCGTGCACGGGACAAAAGAGGACGTGGTAAAGGACACGGATTTGGGGGGATGGGAATGGGTCTGGAAAGACCTCTGGGCTGGTGCGACCGAGTGGCAACAATGCAAGGAATGTGACCGTTCTGCACGCAGTCAGCAGCAAAAAAAGGCGATGAGGCGATGTCAGGCCAGAGAGGCGAGAGCAAGGACGCTTTGGGTTTGGGACGTCATGAGCGGAATGTGTGAGCGGACACAAGATTCTGCCAACTCCCTGACAGTCAGAACGATGCGCGCCATGTTTGCATGGCTTGAAGCCACCGAAGAAGAAACGTGTCCGCGCAGACACCTTCCCACAACGATGTGCGATCACGATCCAGCAAGCGCAGCGCGACATTCTTGGACGGCAAGCAACATGATCGAGAAGGTATGGCGGCATGTTGATTGACTGGTATTTTTGTGTAGCGGTGGACCAGCGCAAAGGAGCGGCAGGGAAATGGGGAAAGGACGGTCGCAATGCACACCCATTCCAGCGGCGGCGAGAGGCTAGCCTCTCGCCAATGCTTTGGAAAAGACTGACCTGTTTCTTGCCCAGGCAGCGGGACAGGGCACAATTCCCGAGATGCCCACGGTTGTGAAAGGGATGGCCAATGTGTCGGCAATGCTTCGCAGGAATCGTGACCAGGCGTGTCAAGGCGCCCCGCTATGATTCCCGGGAGCAACTGCCGTGCCTTGTTGTAACGACCAAAGCAGCTGTTCCATGTCAAATCCAGATTCACCCGCACAAGCACACCAATCTGCATGAGCGGCTGGCTGGCAGTCCCGGCGAGCCCGATTCAGAGTCAAAAGTGGTGGGGCCAAGTCGAGGAAAATAAAAAGCACCTCCCTCTCCTTGAAGCAGTCACACACATGCACACATACACACATACATACACACATACACACATACACGGGGAAGGGCAGGCAGCGCCTCACCTCGATGGGTGATTCAAACACCAGCACCAACCCAAGAAAATAACCCGACCTTGGTAGGCGTGTCGACGTATGTCGGCTAGCAAAGATAAACGCTGGCGATCCCCCCTCCCGCGCACAACACGACGTGCCCTACACAGATGTAGAGGATGGTGAGAAAGAGGGGGCAGGGGTGGTGGTTGATGTGGCCTGAGGCAAGCGATCACTGCAATTCAATTCAACTGCAGGCACAGGCACGCCCTTATACCCCCCATACCTATCTCGTTGCAGGCAAGCGACACAAGCTGGGCACACAAGCACCACATTGGCCCATACGTCAACAACAACAGCAACAACGCCAACATGGGGTGATTGGGCGCGACAAGGACCCGTAGATCAAGCCATGCTTGTTGGAACCCGCAAGACCCTTCAGCCATAACAACCCATCTAACTGACGCTCAACGCGACTCTCTGCGACCGCATGCCAACGCCAACTGCCGCACTCACGACATCACGCGTTTGCGTTTGTGTTTTGGTACATTATTATGATGATCTTTCGCTCATGAGGGCCTTGAGGAACGACATGCCCAGGGGTGTGCGCAGGGTATGACGATGATGCAGCCGTCCAGACCAGGCCGCACCTGCCAGCCTGCCGATCAAGGCGGACCTTTCCAGTTGTTGTTTTTCCTTTTCACAAAGCCACTCGGTCTTGCTTTTACCCCACTTTCTGTCCCGTTTGTCCTGAGCGTTGGTGGCACGAGTTGCGGAAAAAGAGGGGTGCGTGGCGCGTATGCCTGTATGCGTGTATGTATGTGTGTATGTGTGTATGCTGTGGGTGCCCCAGGGTCCCACTTGACAGTGACGCTTGGCGAAAGGACGACTTGGAAGAGCCTTTGTAGGCCTGGACCAACCCAGCATCTCCTTGGGTGTCCCTTTGAAATTCAAACAGGGTGACCTCACGCGTTTGGGTGGCGTGATGCTAGCCGCGTTGGGGGTTCTGTCGAGGCTAGACGAGGCGAGAAGGACACTGCCCCCCTTTTTAAGTCTTGCATCCTCTCTCCGTCTCTCTCCGTCTCTCTCTCTCCATCTCTCTCTCTCTTCCCCCCTCCCCCACCACACACCCTCTCTCTCTCTCTCTACACTGAACAGGCTGTTGTGGCGCCTGCTGGCTTTTTTTTTCCTGCTGCTTCCTGCTGGCTCTGACTCTGCCCCAGCCTGCCAACCCAATGTATAACGCACGAGCGGTATCGATGGCGCTGTCGGCACAATCAATCGTTTCCCACACTTTTGCCACTTAGATGAGATGGAGATGAGATGGGTTCAGGCAGAGATGAAATGAAGCCACAACCGGCGTTGCTTTGTCATGGAGCACGCACAAGCATGTACCGGGCGTGCGTCATGGCGAACAAGGCTGTGTCTGTCGAGCGCGCGCGCGCGCGCCGTGTCACCCAGCCAGCACCCGCCACCACCACCAACACACGCGCCAGCACTTCTCAGAGAAGAAGGTGTCAGTCATTCGAGATGCCTTGAATCATGCATCTGTGCGTCATGTATGTTATGGGTAAGGAGTTCCTTAGGAAGAGTGAAAGGGTGTGAAAATCTGGCATCAATGGTGGTAGTCAGGACAATGGGGGAAACCTGACGTCACACAACGCGCGAGCGACTTTCACACCCTAATGCAGCTTTACCAGCGTGTTTTGCTTGATAGCTCGAGCGGGTGTACCCAACTCATCCCCTCAACCGAATTGTCAGACAACCCGATACAACCTGTTATTCTGACTGATTTCGACCCTGAATGTCAGATTATATTGTCATTGTATTCGGTTGAATGTTCTGAGTATCGTCACCGCTTTCGTGTTTTGCTTTCGGCGGATTATCAGCACCCGCGTGCTCTCTCTCTCGCGCGTTCTGGCTCTCTCTCACTTTTCGACTGACTCGACTCGACTGGATACGGCACAGGGAGCGACACAGATCTGGGGTGCAGTGAGAAGTGTGTGCGAGCGTGTGGCTGGGTGTAAGCCCCCGGGGTTTTTTTGGTGGTGGTTCATCTGTGGACTGAGGTGCCTACTCTTGGTGCTTGCTTGATTTCGATCAAAGCCATGGGTAAGTCCAAGAAGCAGACGGCTCGCTCGGCCACCAGCGACTGGACCGTCGTAAACAAGGAGGAATGGGCGCAGCAGCAGCAGCTACAGCAGGCCGAAGCAGAGCTCGAAGAGCAGACCTCGAAGCTTGAAGCGCCACGACGACTGACCAAGCGCGACAAGCGTCGCGGCGCCCAACGCGTGCGCCGTGCTGGCTGGAACCTGGTCTGTGCATATCGCTCTTGATTCCCATGGCGTCCATGGCATGCGCTTTGCATCTACTCCTGCGACCCCTATGACCACCTGCATCACCATCTGTGTGCGTTGCTGGCATTGATCATCTTGTGTTCATCATCTGTGCGGGATAGGTGGACGTGCCGGAAGAAACCATGTGGAACTTCTCTCAAGAGGGTTTTTGCCGGTTGGAGGAACTGGATGGCAACCTGATTGACGAGTATCAGAATGGCGTGCTTGCCATCAACTCAGAAGCGCCCGCAACCGAACCGTCTGCCGCCGACCCCGAAGCAGCCGATCCATCAGAGAAGAAGAAGAAGAAGAAGAAGCGCAAATCCAAGAGCAAGAAAGTCGATGCTCAAGAGGACGCATCGGCCGATCCTGAAGGACTGAATGTCATTCAAGCTGACGTCGTCGATGCCCACACCCTGAAGGACCAGGTTGCTCAGAAGACCCGCACCAAGAAAGGCAAGGCCGCGGCTAAGCGTGCCGGTGCCTCTTCTGACCTTTCCGACAACGGCCAAGCGCAGCCATCAGAGGCTCACTCTCGTCCAGCCAAGAAAAGCAAGTCCATCGAGCCATCCGACATGGATGACGAAGACGACCACGACGATGCGCCTTCAGGTAAGCTGTCGACCACCCGCGAATCTACAGACAAAAAGAAAAGGACTGACACCACCGAGCACCACCGCACCCCCCACCTCGAGCTTGGTCGTTTCATGGACCTGACGCCCGTTGTCGGCATGTGTACACCAGAAGACGTTACAACCTCTCAGCCACTGGCCGACGAAGACCTGGCCGGTAGGCTAGCGTACCCGCCCGCCATCAGCTCTGGCCCTGCGCTGCTGTTTGATGTCATCTTCCTGCCCACATGACACTTGCTGAAACATGTGCTTCATATCGTCGAATGGCATATGCGTAGCTTGGACCGTGCTTCAGCTTGATCGCGAGCTGGCCGAGGCCGTTGTTCGTCGCGGCTTTACTGCCCCAACTCCCATCCAGGTATGCACTTTATTTGACGCGCCTGACCCTTTGCTCAAAGCAGTATGGGCCACTTGCCACCCGCACGCGCACGCGCACGCTTGTGCATTCTCATCAGCCCTTGTTGGCCTCATCGCCACCACCAACCGGCCGCTCATAGCAAGCCGCCATCGTGCCTGCTGTTCGTGACTACCGCGATGTCATTGCCGCTGCTCCAACGGGCTCGGGCAAAACCCTTGCCTTTGGCCTGCCTGTGCTTCAACACATTCTCAACCGCCGTGCCAGGGTGAGCTTCGGCTTCAAGCACAAATGCTCGCCCAGAGACAGCGCGTTTATAGTTGTCCAAAGACGCTGCGCCTTTGCCCTCTTCTCAAGTTTGAGCACCCTCTTTCCTTTCCCCCACGGCATCCCCTTTAGGGACGGAGTACCGCGGGCTTGCAATGCCTTATTCTTACCCCGACCCGAGAGCTGGCCCTACAAGTATGATGCCAAAGCAGCCGCACGCTCCCTCTGCCTCGCACACCCCTGCTGGCTCCTCACGTGCAGCAATCCCTCTGGCAGATTCAACAACACCTCAAACCATTGGCCACCCCACTCTCTGTGCGAGTGACCGCCATCGTGGGTGGCATGGCGCTCGTCAAGCAAGAGCGCCTGCTCAAGGCAAAACCTGAGATTGTGGTCGGAACCCCTGGCCGTCTGTGGGAAATCATTCAATCAGGCCACGTACACTTTGCTCATTTGGACAGGTTGGTGTTCTCGCAAATTGTTTGTGGCGCCGCTCCTCTTCTTCCATTCTTTTTGTTCAATCTCCTTTTACTACGATCTGACTCTTTGGCTGTTTTGCGAATATCTGTGTAGCCTGCGGTTTTTGGTGTTGGACGAAGCAGATCGTATGGTCGAGCGTGGACACTTTGCCGAGTTGGACAAGATCTTGGCTCGCTTACCCCGCCCAACCCAGTGCGTTTGCGAAGCGCCTCGGCCGTCACATATGTGTGCCAGCTTCCATCTCACCGCTGACCCCCTGCCCATCCCCACTTTTGAAACCAGGCCTGCCTTTCCCACAGAGGAAGACGCTTACTTGCAACGTGTGCGCGAGAACGCCCGGCGTGATGGCACGCCCAATGTCCAAGAAGTGCCATCGAATGTAGAAGAGCCGTCGGCCACCCAATCTGATGGTCGCAAGCGCTCCTCCAAAGACAAGCTTGAAGAGGAAGTTCTCATGGACGTCTTTGGCACCGAGACTGCCGATGATCGAATCACCCAGATGCTGTTGAAATTGCGCGTGCGTCTACCACATCCGATTGCTCAATGTCGAATCACTTGATTGCCTACCTTCTTCTGTGCTTATTTCAACCTTTCAACCGCATGTTTGTGTTTTGGTGTGTAGCGTGATGGGATGAGTTTCATCCCGACGGCCATGGACCAGGCTCACGACGACAGCGAAGATGAGGCCGAGGACGCTGATGAAGCCGTGGAGACGGACGAGGGCGCTGATAGTGACGACGAGAGCGATGCGGCTGAGGCAGAGGATGATCATGAGCAGCCCACGGAAGACTCTGACCGTGCGCAACGCAAAACGCCAGCAGCCGACTCGACGCTCACTCAGTTGGAGGACAAGAAGACCCAAGGTCCTGACGAGGTGGAGACTCAGCTGGCTTTGGAGCAGAACAAGGTCAAGCGTCAGACGTTTCTATTCTCTGCCACGCTTTTGCCCCAGTTTCAGGTGGGTCCCCAAAAGTTCCGTTTCGTCCCAGAGCGGGTATCGCAGGCATGCTTTGTGACTTGAGGGCAGGAGGCGCCAATCTGACCCAACTTGACGCTGATTTTTGTCATGTATAGAAGGGAGGACGCAAGGGGCAGCGACAGGCCGGCGGCAAGGGCGCCACCGACACGTCGATTGAGCGTGCCTTGAGTCGTGTCGTGCAGGCGTGTGGTCTTCGCAAAAGCTTTGCCCAGTTGGACCTGAGCACCCAAATCATGGCAGGGGAACAGCGTCTGGCTCGCGGGCTGCAGGAGGTGCGCATTACCTGTCCCAGCACGGACAAAGAAGTGTATTTGTACTACTTTTTGCGGCGCTTTCCCGGTCGCACCTTGGTCTTTGTCAACACGATTGACGTTCTCAAGCGACTCAAGACCGTCCTCGACCTCGTTGGACTCAATCCACAAGCCCTGCATGCGCAGATGCAGCAACGGTACGGCGCATCTTCTCTCTTCTTCTTCTTTTTTTTTTTTTTTATAAAAACACGGGGAGGGCTGTTGTGAGTGGGGCTGTTGTGAGTCGTTGGTTGCCGAATTTCCGTTCAGCGCATCGGGCCAGGTTTTCGCCTCACCAGCTTGCTGAACTTTAGGCAACGCTTAAAGTTCCTGGATCGCTTCAAGGAGCAGGACAACTGCGTGCTGCTCGCTACCGACGTGGCGGCGCGCGGTTTGGACATTCAGAACGTGCAGTATGTCGTGCACTATCAGCTCCCCAAGCATGCTGACAGCTACGTGCATCGTGCGGGTCGAACTGCACGTGGCACGGCAGCGGGTCTCAGCGTCGTGTTGCAAAGCCCGGAGGACCAGCAAGCTTACGCCAACATTCACAAGACGCTGAACCGGTAAGTGCCCAAGCAGGAGGCCGTTGCCTTGTTTGCACGACATGGACTCACGCGCCCAACACCCCACCCCGTGCACAACATTCGCACGGTAGCACTACGGACATGCAAGCTTTCCCTGTCGAACTAGGTTTTTTCAAGGGCATCAAGGCACTCTTGGGCGCAGCCGTCAAGGTGGAGCGTTTGCAGCGCCAAACTAATAAGGTAGGTACACATTTGCGCAGCAAGGCCATGAACCTGAGAGCGGCCGTTGGCCTGACCACTCACCATTGGGGCTCTGCTTGCGGTGCTGATAGCCCAAGAACAATAACAACTGGTTTGCCAAGGCCGCGCGAGAGATGGACATTGAACTGGATGACGATCTCTTGGAGGAGGAGTCGGCAGCCTCTCAAAAGACAGCGCAGCAGTTGGCCGACTGCAAGGTGAGCGAGCAAGCGTGAGCAGGATACTGACAACTGGTTGCGTTTGTCCTCGAAGCACAAACCGCGTCAATGTGGAAATTCATCTGCGTGGTGTGTTGGGTCAAACAGGCACGCCTCAAGACCTTGCTGGGGCAGCCGATTATGATGACGGGTGCCTCACGCCACTACGTCTCTTCGGGCAACGCCGAGCGTGCTTTCTTGAGTGAGTAGCGCGTGTGTGGATATCGAAAGGAAAGAAGTCGCCTTTCTGAGAGACCAGATGTGAACGAGTCGAAATCTGATGGCAATTTGTTTGCACCCCTCGTCTTTGCTTAGATCCCTATGGCAAGTCGGCAGTCGAGTATCTGGAGGCAGAGACTGCCTCCCAGTAGTTTTACCCCGCCCCGCCTTCCCTCACGAATTCATCTCCAAGCGTACTTCTTCGATGTTTCGTGTGATGCAGCCCTTTGCATCTTGGCGCATGTTGGCCATGAATTTGCAACACGCCCATACGCACACACTCACACATTTCACTGACATGTGAGAACAGCGACCAAACACCACATGCGCAAGAGCCTGCTCTCTCTCTCTCTCTCTCTTTCTCTCTCTCTCTCTCCCTCTCTCTCTCTCTCTCTCTTTTTTCTCTCTCTCTCTTTCTCTCTCTCTCTTCTCTCTTTCTCAAAGCACGCACGTACCATGGACTACCATCTCTGAGCGTTTGACTATTGAAAGCCTTACTCTCTGACAACTGCTCAAAAAGCTTCGCAATGATATCGTATCTCTGAATGCACTGAGCAAAGCATCGTTGCTCTCTGCATCGTTCCCGCCGATCTCACCCACTCTCTACCTCTCTCTCTCCCTCTCTTCTCTCTCCCTCTCTCTCTCTCTCTCTCTCTCTCTCTCTCTTCTCACACTCACAAACCTCCCAAGCACCCACCCGACTTACATGTGTAAGGACGCCGCTAAATTTCTTATTGTAGCACATGTCACACTTTTCCAAATTGAAGTGTGTCAAAGTCAAACAGTCCATAAAATCTGACGTTTTCGGTTACAAGTGCACAATCAACAATTTGGCGCTGGCGCGAAAGAACGAGAGAAATGGCAGCGCACGGTCATCCGCGACTGTTGCGGCGGACTATCGGCGAGTGGCATCAGTGTCTCATCCTTTGATCGTGCCGGGAGCTTGCCTGCGATCTACTTGATCGGTACCTCATTGAGCTCTCAAATTCGCGAGAGTCAGAAGTCGAGAGAAAGAGAATCTGGTTCCCAGGAATTGTGCCAGTTGCAGTTTGGCAGTGAGAGGTTTGGGTGTGTGGACGATTCAGCTGGTAGTGCTGCAAAGTGGTCCCTACCAACCAGCTCCGCGGATTCGCAGTGTTTACCAGCACACGGCCAAGCCACCCCTCAAAAAAAACCCCCGTCACCAACCACCATCCACAGTAACCCCCACCCTGACCAAACTTGTGGTTTCTTAGCGCTTGCTCGCATCCCCCACCGTTCTCCCCTTGTTGTTTGTGTCCCCTTCCCAACTCCTTCTTGGACACGGGCATGCCTCGCAACAACGGTCATCTCTCCCATCTGTTCGTGCCTGGCCTCCCTTACGTTCCCCCCCCACTCTTGCACGCGCGAGCCAGAGGCCAGAGCCTTCGTCTTCCTTTTTTCTTTTTTTTTTGTTTATGTCAGTTTTGTTTTGATTGATCCTGCCGGCGTTGGGGACGTGCAAGCACTGTTGCACTGCCATTACGGTCCTTGTGGTTGCCCCTGCCCATGTCGACCACCAGCGTGTGGTTAGTCTGGCTGGTCGGTTGACCACCGCATTTCTCCGGTGCCCCTCCCTGTGTCGCTGCCATTCGCGCCCGCGAGACCACAACGTCCTCCTCCTCCTGCCATTCAGCCACCCTCCTTCCGAGCAGCCCACAAGGACTCCAGACGCCATTCAAGCATACTCTGACTTTGTGGCGCGGTGGCCCGTGCCTTGTTTTTTTTTTCCTTTCCTTCTTCCTCTTCCTCTTGCCCTTCTTTCTCAAAGCGTGTGTGGTGGCCTTTACAGAGCTGTACCTAGCCCCATCAACAACGCCTGCCTGGCCAGCCCCGTGTTACTTTGGCTTGCTCGGCATTCTTGGCTTGGTCCGCTTGCACGTCTGTCAAAAGGTTATCCCTGCTGCCAACCAGACCTACGCTCGCGCTCGCGCGTCAAATAGTCCTGATCCTAGTTGCCTCGTTGACACGCCTGCGTCGCTGCTTCGACAACTCGCTGGCAAATATTTTGAACGTGCTACGACCTCGACATTGGCAGCCATGTTTCACATTGGCCTGGCCAACATGTTTGGTGGAGCTGGCCTCAATTGTCGGCCAAAGTCTGGCCGCCGCCGCAAGCGTCAAATGTTGAACAGCAGCACAGACAGCAGCGCTTTGGTCCAGGACAATCCAGCAGTCCAGCACCTGCCCCTTGAACTCATCGAACGCATCTTCTGGTAATGGCTCCAGCTTTCACAACTACACCGCCGTAGCCGGCATGTGAAGTTGCCATCTCACCGCATGCCTCTGCTTATTTCTAGCTACTTGGATATCCAGGATCTGGGTCGTGCAGCACAGGTGTGCCGCCAGTTTGCCCGTGCGCGCTGGCTCAAGGTCGACCTACGGCCAGTGTACGACAAGGTCTCCAGTGCCACGTTAACCTACGTCTTGACCCAAAAGCAGCCCAGCATCCTCGTGGTGCCACGACCACACAATAGACTCGTCCCCGCTGCCCCCTTTGATCAGTTCTTCGGACGCGAGCTGACCCTCTCCAATGTTCAAGTGGCCAACGCCCACCTCCTCGCCCTCGTCCGCAGCACATCATCGGTCAGCCCTCGCCCCCACCCGCCTGTTCCTTGAGTTGCTGGACCATTTGAGCTCGTCTCCCTCGGTTCCGTTGTGCCCAAGGCTAGTGTCTGACACGCACCAAAAACCCTGCTCCTGCAAATTAGAATCTGAGCGTCTTGCGCTTGAGCAACTGCTATCTGAGCCCCGCCAATGCCCGCTACATTGTCCGTCTGATGCTGGCGTGTCCCGACCTCCGAGAACTGGATCTCAGTGAGAACGGCTTTAACGCAGCCGTCATGCGCTACTTTGCCGAAACCGACTGCTGGAGCGCCCTGCGCCGGCTGGACATTTCACACATGAAAATGGAGCGTCTTGACGCTGCGGCCGTCGCGACTTGGCTCCTCCGCTGCCCTTGGCTTGAGGAGCTTCACCTTGCTTCCACCCAACTCCATGATGACGATTTGATGGCACTTTTGCCTGTCATTGCCCAGCTCAAGTATCTGCGCCATCTCAACCTCGGGGACAATTGCCTCACGGCCCACGGCATTGCAGAGTTGTGCAATACCATCAAGGTCCGTTACCTGGGGTCCGATGCATTTGATGCCGGTCTTGGTCAAGTTTTGCTCCGTGCTCCGTGGCCTCACTTGGCCTCATCACCGTATACTCGGCCCTGTGGTTGGTCCTGCGTTGACACCTTTCCATGATAGCACATGACCATTGAGACGCTCGACCTGCAATGCAATGAGCTGGGTGCCGCTGCGCTCCAGCCCCTGATGCTACATCTCAAAACGGTACAGCCATCACCTGCGCGCTTCCCGTCTCTGACAGGGCCGACCCAGTGCCAAAGCTCATGGATATTTGCACGCTGGCTCGCAGCCGGCCGCCACCCTGAAGCGCCTGATTTTGTGGGACAACCGCATGGGCAACGCAGGCGCCATAGCGCTTGCCCAAGCCTTGGCTTGCAGTCTCACGCTTGAAGAAGTGGACGCTCGCTTCAACCACATCTCAGTGGGTGGTGCCCGAGCTTTGGCTGAGGCCTTGGAGCGCAACACAACTTTGCGCAAGCTTGGGCTACGGCACAACCCATTGCAAGACGCCGGTGCCGTGTCCTTTGCTTCAACACTTCGCCTCAACAGCACGCTGCGCGAACTGGATTTGGAAGAGGTTGGCATGTCCTACATTGGTGTGGAAAGCTTGGCTCGTGCCCTGCGGGCCAACCACAGCTTGCGTTGCCTCTGCCTCCGCAACAACAACATTGGTGATAGTGGGCTGCGAGCCTTGGCCCAATCCATGGTTCTCAACAAGCAACTACAAGCTCTGGACCTGTCGCAGCTGTACCATGCCACGGAACATGCCGTGAGCGAGCAGGCGCTTCGTGACTTTGCCTCGGCTCTGGCTAACAACCACACCCTGCGCCGCGTGGCCCTCATTGGCATGGCCCCGTCACCAGCTGTCGCCCGCTACTTTCATAATGAACTGGCCCAGCGAGTACAGCTGGAGAAGACAGCCAAGGGTCAACTGATCAGGTCCAAGCACCGCCGTGGTCTTTCTTTACTCTTCTTTTGGCGATCATAACCACGCGGTGCGCCATCACCTGCGCCTGCAATTTTTCTTTTTTGCCCAGAGTCCAATCATCTTTGTTGCATACCATGTGGATAGCCACCCTCCTCTGTCGCGACATCTCCCTAACCCTAACCCTAATGGAATTGATATATATGAGCGAGACGCGAGTCATAATATCCTCATGGATTTTGGCACGAGAAGCGTAATTTCCAGTTGACCAAACCAGAAAACGGGGAAAAAAAAAGGGATTTCGAGGTCGGCCAGCAAACAGCCTAACATCGCTTCTACATTGGCCAAAAAAACAAAGGGCGGCAGAGGAAGAAGCACGAATTGTCAGAACAGCGCAGAGCTGTCGACATGAACTATACAAAGACATCAACGGCACAATGATGCAAAACGCAAGGGCTAACAAATTCGTAGAGCTGCGTGGACAGTTGCTGAGAAGAGGAAAGAGAAGAAAAGATCAAGAGGGGGCAAGAGGCAAACAGATGACAGGGCAAAGGTGCACATGGCGGCCGAACCGCCAAGACGGATGGGTAAATTTATTGGAGGGCTTGCTCGATGAGCGACTGCTGCTCTGCGTTGTGCTGCTTCTTATCACCAGCAGCAACCGAGGCGCTGGCGTTGCGACCCACGTAGCGAGCGCGGGCACCCTGGTGGTGCTCCGACTTTGAGAGAGCCGTCTCAATGCGCGAGTCAACGTAAGACCAGGCGCCCATGTTACGAGGCTCCTCCTGGCACCAGACCACCTCGGCATTGGGGTACTGGTCCATCATGTTGTGGACAAGATCAAAGGGGAAGGGGCTGATCTGCTCCACGCGGCCAATGGCCACATCGGTGATGTTGTTGTCCTGGCGATGCTTCAGCAGGTCGTAGTAGACCTTGCCCGAGCAGAGCACGACACGCTTGACACCATCAGGGTTGCTGGAAATGCTCTCGTCGGTTTCAGAATAGAAGCGAGTGAAGCGAGTGCCGGCACCAATGTCGGCCAGCGTGGACCTAGGAAGCGCAGACGCAGGAAAAAGACCATGGTTGAGAGAACTGCCTGAAAAGGGCTCGATATGTCCGGTTACCCCATGGACACGACCATTGACACATGGAGCCATGCAAGCGCGAGAAAAGATGAGCAAAGAAAGACAAACGCTACGCACTTGCACATTGGGTGGCGCAGGAGGCTCTTGGGGGTGAAGACAACGAGAGGCTTGCGGAAATCGCGGTGGACTTGACGACGAAGAACGTGGAAGTAGTTGGCGGGGGTGGTGGCATTGACAACCTGAATGTTGCAATCCTGGATCTGACGGCGCTGGCCATCACGCATCTCGGGATAGACTGACTCGTTGTCGTTGCACAGCTGCAGGAAGCGCTCGATGCGACCGCTCGAGTGCTCGGGGCCCATGCCCTCGTAACCGTGCGGCAGGAGCATGGTCAGGCCAGTCATGCGGCGCCACTTGTGCTCGCCGGCAGCGATAAACTGATCGATGATGCACTGGGCCGTGTTGGCAAAGTCACCGAACTGGGCCTCCCAGCAAATGAGCGAGTGGGGGTTGACCATCGAGTAGCCAAGCTCAAAGCCCAGCACACCGTACTCGCTCAGGTGGCTGTTGGAGACGGAGTAGTTGGTCTGGGCCGGCGCCAGCTCCTGCAGGGACACGTAAGTCTTGCCATCAACCTTCTGGTCGTGCAGCACGTGGTGGCGCTGCGAGAAGGTACCGCGCTCGACGTCCTGGCCACTCAGGCGGACAGCCTTGCCCTCCATCAAAAGGGTACCAAAGGCCAGACCCTCGGCGGTAGCCCAGTCCATGCCCGTGTCCTCGACAATGCTATCCAGACGCGACTGCAGAATCTTCTTGAGAGAGCGGTGAATGTTAAAGTCATCCGGATACTGGCTGAAAATCTGTGGTACCACACAAAGCGATCGAATGAGGATGGAGGCGGGACAACCAACTGCAACAAAACACATGCATTTAGGTTGGCAGCGGGGTGATCGGGGCGGTCAACGCGCTCTTCACGAGCCAGGATCAAACACGTACCGTGCCAACTTCCTTGAGCAGAGCCTCGTCAACGCCCGTGTCGTAGATTTGGGCCACGTCGACTTGCTGAGACTTGAGAGAGGACCACCACGAGCCCAGGTACTCGGGGCGGGTGTTTTTGAAGGTCGGGGCGCGATCCCACGCGGCGTTGAGGTTCTCCTCGTAGGTCTTGCGGGCTGATTCGAACCACTGGCCGTCGATGGTGCCTTCGGCGGCAACCTTCTCCTCATAAATCTGGTCCACGGGCTTTTGCTCGGCAATGCGCTCGTACATCAGGGGCTGGGTAAAGGCGGGCTGATCGGCTTCGTTGTGACCAAAACGACGGTAGCAGACAATGTCAACGACAACGTCGTTGCCAAACTCCTGACGCCACTCCATGGCCACCTGGCAGACACGGGCGACGGCCTCGGGATCGTCGCCGTTGACATGGAAAATGGGGGCACCGACCATCTTGGCAAGATCGGTCGAGTAGGGAGTTGAACGGGCAAAGCGGGGGTCGGTGGTGAAACCAATCTGATTGTTGACGACCACATGGATGGTACCGCCGGTCGTGTAGGCAGGGAGTTGGGTGAAGCCAAAGCACTCGTACACGACGCCCTGGCCAGCAAAGGCGGCGTCACCGTGCAAAAGGATGGGGACGACGCGCTTGCGCTTGGTGTCGCCGCGGTAATCCTGTTCGGCGCGGGCTTTGCCAAGGACGACAGGGTTGACGGCTTCGAGGTGCGAAGGGTTGGCCATGAGGGAGAGGTGCATGCGGTTACCCGTGTCGTCAAAGACGACGTCAGAGGACATGCCCAGATGGTACTTGACGTCACCAGAGCCTTCATCATCGATACCGAGATTGCTCTGGAACTCGTTGAAAATCTGCTCGACGGGCTTGTTCATGACGTTGGCCAGAACATTGAGACGGCCACGGTGGGGCATGCCCAAAACGGCAAACTCGACGCCCAGCTCGGATCCACGGCGCAGAAGCTGGCGCATGCCCGTGATGAGGGCCTCGCCACCGTCGACACCAAAGCGCTTCTCCGACACAAACTTCTTTTGCAGGAAGAGCTCAAAGCCCTGAAGGTTCCAAAACAGAATGTGAGGAAGAGCAAGGACATGCGTCAAGCAGCAAAGTGAGAGCCCAGCTCAAGCGCTTACACGAGCATCAACCAAGTCCTTGGCGATCTTCTGCTTGAGGTCAGCCGAAGTGGGCTGCTGAAGCTCCGACACCTTGTCTTGGATCCACTTGACGCGATCGCGCTCCTACGCAACAGAAACCGTTCCACAAAGCAAGAGTCCGGGGTCGTGTGTGTTTGGGTGAGGATAGAGTCGGCATTGGCCAAAAGAAAGAAAGCAGCTGGTATTCTCGGGTCTATGAAGATTTGTTTTCCCATGTTTTTCTTCTTCTTTTTTTTTTTTTCCCTCTCTCTTTCTTTCAAAGTGTAAGAGGGGGAGCAACCGCATAACTTTGACAAACCTGAATGAACATGTACTCAAAGCCCACGGTCGAGCAGTAGACCTTGTTCAGGCGCTCGATCAGAGTGCGGAGGGGAAGATGGCTCTCCTGTTGCGTGTCAAAGATGGCGTGGGGGGGCACGACAACAGTCTTGTCCAGGTCGGCCTCGGTGAAACCGTAGTGGGCAAGCGTCAGCTCTGAGGGAGTCTGTAACACACGGTGTGAGCGTGCAGTGGCAACGACAGAAAGAGACTTTCAAGCTTTTTTTTTTCCAAGCGGGAAAGGAACGCACCGAGCCGTCGAGATCGGCGTTCATGATGTTCAGGGGGTCAAGGTTGGCAATGTTATGGCCGCGAGTTTCGTAGGCGCGGATGAGGCGTTCGACCTTCAGGTGGTTGAGGATTTCCGAATGGGTGGCCGAGAGGGTGGGGGCAGCTCCAGAGGCGCTGGGGGCAGCATGGCCGGCGACGGGCGGCGGAGTGTAGGATTGGCCCTTGCCGAGACCACTGGCCTCGTTGTCAAAGAACGCGCGCCACGAGGCGTGCACGCTCTTCGGGTCCTCACGCCAGGCCTCGTACATGGCCTCTGTCCAAAAGGGGAAAGGAATGGTCCGGATTACGGGCCAAGGCCAAGTTTGGAGTGAGAACAGGGAGGAGAAAACAAGGTGCGTTGCCACATGCAAAATGGAGAGCGAAAAAAAGGCAAATGCACACAAACCGTAGTATGCGACGGAGGTGCCGGACATGAACTGCTCCGTGGGCGCGGGCTGAGTGCTGTACGCGGCCAAAAAGGGGCGCGAACCGCTGGGCAATGCCGAGCCCGGCTTGAGCCACTGGCCCACGGCGCGGCTAAACCGCGTCACGTGCTTGTACATGGTGGCCGTCTATGCCGCAAAATTCAAGGCGGAGGCGCATGAGCACGAGGCCTTTTGATCAGGAAAAAAAAAAACAGGCGGAAAGCAGAAAACATGCTCGAAAACAAGGAGGAAGACGAGAAGACCAGAAGTAAAAAAACTCTTTTAGGGAAAAAAAAAAAGAAGAGAAGGAGGAGGAGGTGAAGGAGGAGGAGAAGGAGGAGGAGA